TGGTGGGAAAAATGAATAATCTTAAAATTTATCTTACATGTTTTAAATGCTTAGACCTATGTCACTGCTTTTAGCCTCTAAATCTTAATATCTGGCCATATTAGAGAAAGATTAATCCTGATATTAGAATGAGAGTCATATACTAAAGATAAGCAAGTTCAATATGAGCCACTATGATGGCAGATTGTTAATCAATTGCGTAGATAGTGCAAAGTAATAGCCAAAGCAATGGAACAAGGTGATATTATCTAAAAGGGGCAAGAAGCTAGTGGTGCTAAAAAGAGAGATACAAAGTCAGAAGAAGGAAATGGTGATTAAGAGCTCCAGTGCTGGAAAGTGGAACCAAGATGTAGATGTTTAATATGTGCTTGACTTTTTTCATTAAGAACTCATATGTGATGTTTGAGGAATTTCAGTGGAGTGCTAGACTACGGTACTAGATTATCTCTTACGGGGACTTGGCTAGACAGATAGAAAAGAAAAAGCTGTAGCTAGACAGGGATGAGGGAGGTTTTTTGTTTCATTTTATTTTGTTTTGTTTGTTTGTTTCCAAGTTAGGAAACACACAAGCATGTTTAGGGAAGGAAGCAGAGGAGAAGATTTTGAAGATACAGAGGGGAGAGGACATTGGATCCACAACATTTTAAACATACCTCTATCACCTCTCTCCTGTCGTACACACAGAGATACACACACAATGCCCTTAAGAGTAATGAGCTCTTTTGAAAAGCCAAGTATTCCTGAAGCAAGAGCTTCTACTTCTCAGATGAGTATGGCTTTCCAAACCATTGACATTCTCTCTTGCTTACACTTGCTGTCTTGTTCTAGCTCTCACTCTCTCACTCTCATTCTCTTTCTCCATCTCCTAACTCCTACCTCCAGCTATACATATTAGATTATGACAACTAGCCCTTCTCCCTCGTTTAGTAAAAATCATACAAAAAATAAGATAAATTAAAACGAACGTTTGGATGCAAAGTTCTTGAAATACATCATATTCTAAAAGATATAAATCCATTTGATTTGTCATTCTGAAAAAAAAAATAAAATACTTGCAGATGTTGGGTATTTAGATACTTTTAAATGAAAGAAAAAGTAGAATCCTGATTTAAAAGCACTTTTGGCGAGCTAATTATTTTATTGACTGAACAAGGAAATGGCTGTCACTTTTCTAATCTACATTTGAATAGTCTTACTGTAGCTCCAATTCTTTCCATTCAATATTTGAGGCGTGAGCTTTTTCCCTTGGCTTTTAAAATTTTTCTCAATTGAAATTTTCCCATACTCATCTTTGCTTACTTTAATAGTCCAGAAATCTCCCCTTGTATGGAACCTAATGAAATTAAACACAAGCATTTTTAGTTAAAATTAGGTGGTTATTTCAATATTTAATAGCTTCATGACAATGTTTCTAAGTTGCTCTTGGCTATTGCTCAACTGTTATTTTTTGAGGCAATAAGGAACATTACTGAATGCAAATAGATGTACACTTCACCTCTCTTTCTCAATATGACCTCAATCAACCAATTTTTCACTGGCGAAATTGTGTTTCAGATATTTAAACCTGGAATATTTCCAGCTAAGTGGAGCTAGACCTATGTCAAATAAAGGGCATTTTATATTCCGAAGCTAAATCACAAAAACAACATTTGGCTTCTTTTCCCATGT